GGTGGCATGGGGTCCGTCTCCTGCTGTAGGGAGCTGGAGCCCAGGCAATCAGCTGCTGACAGCAGCACTGTGGTGCGACTTCTCTCTAATTATGTCATCTCTCTGCCCCCCTTCCCAGATGACTTCCAAAGCCAGCTCTGCTAACAGGCTGCAGCTCTGTCATCTCAGTCCCATGATGCAGGAGGGCCTGAGCCACAGCACAAAGGATAGGAGACCAAGTAGTGGGGAAAACCGTGCAAGTCAGTAGTTCTTCCATGTGGAGTTTTTTGGGTGCAAGAACCTACTTCACACTCCAGAGATGCGCCACTCAGCTCTGGCTCTGAGATGGGGCACAGCATCCCCCACCACTCAAAAACCCCCGCAGGAAATATGTGCCAGGCAGCAGGTACCCAGCAGCCTTTGTCTGCCTCCTTAAACAGACTATGGGTCCCATACCCTGTGGAGCTCATCCACTTTCACCCACCTTCTTTTCGTCCCATTCTCCTCTTTTAGCATAGATCATTTGTCTTTAAACTTAATTATGCAAGTGACACATGAATCCATTCTAGGTCTAAATATGTCAAGCCAAACAAAAAGTGAAAGTCATCTCCTGCTCTGGGTGACTTCTGTCCTTGGCATGTACACACAGACCAAGTACACATGAAGGAAGGAGTGTGCCTCTGGCATGTGTATCCCAAGCAGATGACTTTACAGCTCACTTTCCACCTGATGATGGCTTCTGCATTGATACATTGAGGATAATTTAATCTTTTTAACTGCTGTAGAGTATTCAGTTTTAAATGAAAACATTCCTGCCCTGAGGGACATTTTGGTGGCTTTCAATGTTCATTATTGTGAATGGCCACAGTGGAGGCTTGTTCTCTCTCTCTCTCTTTTTTTTTTTTTTTTTTTTTTTTTTTTTTTTTTTTTTCCAGAACCGGGAATTGAACTCAGGTCCTTGCACTTTCCAGGCAAGTGCTTTTTCCACTGAGCTATCTCCCCAGCCCCCAGAGGCTTGTTCTCTGTGAGAATATTTACTTGTAGGATCAGGACTTGGGGACTTGGTTGGGCCCAAAGGCATGGAGGGGTTTCTGGCCATGGCCCCACCACAGAAGGACACTGCCTGTGAGATACCTTCTCAGGCTCTCAGGTCTGGCCCTGCATCAGCCACTCCTACTCTGTCCCTAGAGGTCACCACGACTTCCTGAGAGAATTCCATCTCCCACCTCCACTGTGAATTCCTAACTGGCCTCAGTAAGGATGCTGCTAGGGACTCCTTAGTGCATCCTAGTACACTTTTAGGGGTGCCTGGGCTGAGGCTGACACAGCCTATCTTCTTTCTACCTGTATGGGCCTCAAGGTCCTGAGCCCCTCCTCAACCCTGTGAGGAACATCAAGGAGCTACAGCAGTCCAAGCCAGTTGTTCAGGTCAAGGCTCTACATGCCCAGCCTCAATCCTTAATATAAGAGCCCAGCAGGTGTCCCATGGCTGAGGTTTAGGCTCCTTTCCTCCTGTGGTCACTCTGAGTTCACCTGGGCCAGTCTGTGCCCACCATGACCTAGCACTCACTGTGCTGGCAAACTCTCCTGCTTTAGCCTTTCCCACCAACACACACACACACACACACACACACACACACACACCCCACTGGTGCTTTGCCCTCAACCTTCACACCTGCTTTTCCCTATTTGCCTTTCTAAGGAGCTTTAAGTGAGAAAACAAACTTTGGGGGGTGGGGGGTGGTGAGACTTGAAGAGCTAGCTAGAGAGGAAGCCTGGTGGGTTGCCCAGGGGTCTCTCTGAGACAGGCAGGAGGGGCTGAAGAATGAGTCCTGGCACTTCTCTAGCCTGCTTCATAAGAGGGAATCACACCCTCTGTAATAAGTGCACTCTATAGAAGTTGTTAGAAGGCTAGTAGGCCTCCCCACAAACTTCTGAGAGGAATTACTGCCCCATTTTATAGATGAAGAAACTGGGCTCAGAGAGACAAATCAGCACATGCCCTGTGGCTGGTATAGGGCTGCCCTGAGGGGAAAGCTGGGTATCAGCCATTTCAGGATACGATTCAGACTCAGGGAGGGACAGAAAGAAGACATTGTCCAGCTGGAGGCCTCTGAAGAAACCCAGGGAGCAAAAGCCCCCCGCAGCAACCCACCTATCAACTTTCACAGGCAACTTCAGACCCTACTACCACTAGGGAAGTCGGCACATGGCAGGTCCACAGAGCCACGGCGAGCTCTCGGCAGCCTCTGAGAGCCATCTCTGCACCTCTGCACCTATTGCCCTGCTGCCAAATTAGCCAGATGATTGGCATTCAGTGCTGTGAGCCAATGAGCTTGCAGCTCCTTCCACTGCTCTGGGCACCAAGAACCATGCAGGAATAGAACAAAATCAAGCTCCTGACCACATCAGAACTCCTGCCAGTCTGTGAAGGCACACACTCTAACATGTCAGGGAGTGTGGGTGCCAAGTAGAAAGAGAAGCATGTAGCTCCAAGGGTATGTGTGTGTTGGGGAGTGAGTGAGGCTCAGTGAGGTGAGCATCAGGAGTGGTGACTCTGAGAGCCTAGTATAAAAGCTGAGGGAAGGGACAGAGCAAGGTGTGCAGGCAGCAGGGGTGAGACGGGGTCTTTCTGGGCAAGAGCCTGAGGTACGTTGTGCCTGGCAGGCCTGAGAATAAGGAAGGAAGCCAGACAATGGGCAAGAGGGAGACACTCCAGGAGGAGATGAATTGAGGGGTAGAGATGGCAGAGGGAGGTCACACAGGGTCTGGAGTCCCTCAAGGAACCCAGCACCCAGTGGAGTTCTGAGCCCTCCCAAAATCCATGGTAGAAATTCCTGGAAGCTGAACAAAAGCAACAGATTCCCTTTCCCCCTCTGGAATGAATTCTTTTCTTGTTATCCTGGGCCATGGAAACAATATGGTCACTTCCCCTTCATCTCCTGCCCCTCCTCCTTCCCCTCCTTCTCCTCCATCTTCAAACCTGCCCCTGACCTTGTCCCAAGCTGGCTTTCCTGCATGCAGCTGAGGCAGTGGCTGCCTCTCAGTTGCAGGCAGAAGACAAGGCCAACAAGGGGACAAGGGAACAAGAGGAAAGACGCCCCCGGGAGAGGCAGGTGGCAGCACGAGGGACAACGTCACAGGGGCCTCTGACCGCTATTCATTTCAGTCCCTGTGTCTCCATCAATAACCGTCTGCCAGTGACCAGGAGGAGAAGGAGGGAGGAGGGGCGACATGCGACTGGACAGGGGAGGGGTGAATGGAGCAGAGACAGCTCCTTGGCAGCTCCTCCAAGCCCTGGGCAGGAGAGAAGGCAGAGCTGACGCTGGAACTCAGCTTCTGTCTCCCTGACTCCTTCTTCCATCTCCACGTCCCCTTCACACATACACTTGCTTCCTGCTTCCTCTCTCAAGCTAGGTGGAGAAGGGAGGCAGTACATGTTTCCATACTAGAAGAGGAGAGAGGGCTTTGGTTGGGCACCAGCTGGATGGTGCAAGAATCAGGTGCTGTAAAGACACTGGCAGTACTTTCTACCCAGATTCCAAAAGGCCAGAACACATTTTGTGACAAGGACTGGTATAGACAGACACCAGTCTGTCACCATCAGACTGTGGGTTTCAAGAAAGGATAGTGTAGGTCACAGGCCTGCCACAGAGTGGGTACCCTGGAAGGAAAGGGCCATGAGTACCATGAGAAGGACCAAATGACTGGCAGTTTGGGTTCAGGAAAGGAGCTTGTTTGCAAATGGACTAAAGCAGTCAAGGAGGGCTGCGTGGAGTAGGCAGAGCGCCATCCGATTGCTGAAAGATGAGTGGAGTTGCAAAAAACACAAATGGGAAGAAAAGGCAGAGCTGGTGAGCAAACTGTGCACACAGGGTGGAGTGAGTGCAGGTTGCAGGGAGGCTGAGAAGATAACAGAAACGAAGTAGAGGGACTGGCCTGCCATCAGGGTGCCTGCTCTCAGACAGCAGGTCCACCTAGGACTCAAGACTGCCTTGGCCAGAGCGGGCCTTTTGAATTTCACCATGACTTCCAGCCTTTCAAGAAAACCAGCCACACACATGGGGCAGTGGGGAAACATCCCAGAAAGATGTTCCCATCAGCACACGTTGCCTCTGCCTGTCACAGGACCCCAAGGGGCCAGCATTAAAGAGTCCCCTCCCCTTCAATCCTGAAGCAGATTGTTTTGTTCTGCCTGGTCCAGGCGCTCTGGTGAGGAGCGATGGTGTGGCCTGGTTAGACTCTCTCAGTGAGAGTACACAGGAATTGAGCTCACACATCCAACAGAAGGGCAGACTGAGGCTGCACAGAGGGTATGGAGAGAGCAGCAGGTCACTGGGGTGTTCGAGGCAGGGCGAGAATGGGCCTCAGTTCCAGGGCTGTGATGGCTGGGTAGCCCAGGAAGCCCTCTGCCTGGCAAGGTTGTGAGGGCCCTCCCTGCAAATGTGACAACAGGAAGTGAGCCAGGGGACACAGGCAGCAAGTGAGAGCCCTGTTCGTTTTGTTAGAACGGCGTGGCCAGGGGTCTTCCACACAGAGCGAGCCTTTATTGGCAAGGCGGGAGGTCCCTTGTCATGTCTGATGGACCAGCAGCCTGAGTTCACTCGCAAGTGTGCCTAAAGGCGTTGGGGGCAAGGGTGAAGCTGCCCCTTCTGGGAGGTGTCAGGGTCGGAGTAGAAACAGGTACGAACAGTGCCGCAGAGAAGAAGAAAAAGGATAGAGACGCTTGAGGCACCAGGGCTGGGGACAGAGAGACCCGTGGGCAGAGGGGGTGTGGTGGGGGGAGACTCTGCAGAGGGAACAAAATAGGGAAGGAACGGGAGGGACGAGAGGCAGACACACAGGAGCACGGAGAGGCAGGGAGGCTCAGAGGAGAGGGCACTGGAGAAAGAGGTGGGCGGGCGCCGAGGGGCATCGAGGGGCGGGGGCGCGCGGCAGGGCGCACCCCGGGCCAGGACGGGCCGGGCCGGCAGGGCTGGGGCGCCCCACTGACCCTTCTCGGCGCTTGCTTCCCTCCCCAGGCTGCGCTTTCCTCACCTACTGCGAGCGTGAGTCAGCTCTGAAGGCCCAGAGCGCGCTGCACGAGCAGAAGACTCTGCCCGGGGTAAGTCAGGGGCGCCCGCCGCGGCGCGAGAGAGTGGCGCGCCGACAGGGGGCGACTTTGCGAGGCCGGGCTGCGACGCGGCAGGCGGCGGGCTGCGGGCGG